AWWAAAMMAAMCYTTTTWAAAAAAAATATGAAAAGAACAATTGTGTAAAACATTTTACAAATAAGGTGTCACCAAACCCCTGCAGACACACAAACACCAACACAAAATACCAAAAACTGAAATGACTTCACACAGAAATTTTGCCAAAATTTCAAGGGATTGAACTCAGAGGCACTCAAACACTGAGCCACATCCCCATCCCTATTTTGTATTTTATTTAGAAACAGAATCATACTGAGTTGCATAGGGTCTCACTGAGTCTCTGAGGCTTGCTTTGAACTCGAGATTTCCGTCTCAGTTTCCCATGCTTTGGGAATTACAGGCATGCACTACCTGGCCCAGTCTCCAACTTCATTTTTATAAACATTGTAAAATTGGCACAAATACATGAAAAGATCACAAACATATACAACAGATTATATTATAATTTATGAGTATTCCAATTCGTAAATAAAACAAAAGCAAATAGTATCCAAGTTTAAATTTGAAATTCTTATGTAATGACCCAGTAGGATCATCCCAGTGAGTATACACATGGTTCAATATTAGGAAACTATTAATATTTATCAATTCAACATAATAATATAGTTAAAAATAAAAAAAATCCTGACCACCATGATGCTTAACTGTTTTGATGGATAATTATAACTATTCCTGACTGACTAATTAGGACTTAATAAATTATCTTTAAAATGATAAAGTACTCCAATAGAAATCAGAACCAGACAAACATATCCCCAATTGGTACTCTTGTTTTAAATAAAGTAAGTATACCAAAATGGAAATATAATTTTATAAATAATATAAACTTATTGCAAATTAGAGCAATAAAGTAAGGAAACAATACTTAGAATTTTGATTCTTTGCAGGCAATATGTTTACACATGTGTAAAATTCAGAGAAATCAATGAACAAAGAACTGCACACTATAACAGAACTTACTAAGGCAAAAGTCAAAATTAAAATATTACAAATTAAATATACAACTGTTAACAAATTATAAGTACTAATGAATAAAGACACACTAAAACAGCAGGAAAATACAAAACATGTATTAGAAAAATTGTCAACCAAACCTGAAGTTTGCAAAATAGTCCTTAACAGATAGTATGACTTTTTTTTAACAGCCATACTCAACATTAAATTATGTCAAATTCTTTTCAGTTAATATATAATTGTAATCTGATTAACAAACAAGCAGGTCGTTTTTATTTCCTGGAACTACTTGGGTGAGTTCTATATTATAAATGGAAAATTCCTTAAGTAAATTTACTGGAAAAAATTTCTAAAAGTGAGAGTGAGAACATCTCATTATATATGAATATGTATTAAAAGATCTATGTACATAAAGCAGTGAGTATTAATATATGAATAAATAGACAAATGTAATGGAAACAATCCTTAAAATAACATATACATAAGTAAAATTAGCATAAAATAAGTCTGGGGAGTAATTGACTAGGGAAAGGTAAACTTACTAAATGACACTGTGACATCTTAAACAGTCATTTGAAAAATAAACTGTATGATTGTATACAAGATAAATAYCCAAGATATAAAAGATATAAACTTTTAATGAAAAGAAACCATTCAACTACTAGAAAAAAATATGAAAACACAGATTGAGAAAAAYATTCATATTTAAGAATTCAAAAGTAACAAAAAATTAATTAAATCAGGTAAAACCAGAATGTTTTGTATCACAAAACACTATGAATAATACAAATTTTACACTTGTAAAGTATATTTAAAACACACAATATCAAAGCGTTAATCTCTGCACAACTGTAAGAGCTTCTAAAAACTCAAAGAAAAGAAAAAAAACAATATTAAGAAAGGAAAACAGAAAAAGGGAAAAAATGCTCAGGTAAGAAAAGATAAAAATAAACATAAATCAAAAGATTTATAGATTATTTCACTATTCTGGAATTTTCCAACACCCCAAATTTTGACAACCTAAACAAAGATATAGGAAAATGGCAAGCAATCAAGCCCTCTGATACATTGCCAGTAGGATAGCAAAATAGTAGAGTTCAGAAGAAGGGAAAATTGGTGATAGTTTGTAATAATTGACTCAGCAATCCCACTTTTCAAAATCTACTTCAAAGAAACTGTAGAAAATACTCAAATAATTTTCTCACTATGGTTTTGTCTTTAGCATTTGGAAACAATACAAACACCTACCAGTAGGAATAAAGCATGTTACAGCCATCTGGAAAAATACTGTGCAGCCAGGAAAAAGAAGCAAGGATAAATATCTACACATTGACATGAAGAAAGTCAAATGAATAAAATGTTTCACAAGAGGTCTTTTTAAATAGCAAAAGAAAACAGAAAGATAGAAATATATGTGCACACTTCTTTTTGTTAAAAAATAACAAACACTGGAAGGATTAACCAAATATTTTTATAAATATTCAACTAAAAGGAGAGGAAGGAGATAGGATGAAGTAATGCCTTTGGATATACCTTGCCATGGGGTTTAAGCACTGAAAGTCTTTTAAGAAGATAATCTTAAATTAAAAAATAAATAAATAAATAAATAGAGAAAGCCACACATAAAAATTAATTGTCCCTAATTGTGTATTGAGTTCATAAAATAATCAAGTTATGTAAGAACATAGACTTTTTTAATGCAAATCAGTTTAGGGGAAATATTCTAAAGACATACAAAAC